CAGAGAAGTTGCTGTGAGACACAGAAACAGCATTAGAAAATTCAAATAATTTGAATTATAGCGAAGATATTCATTCAGATATCTATAAAAAACAAAATAATTGAGCAAAGAATATCCTTTTCAATAATTTCCTCTTCTGACTCTAAAATTATATACATATATATATATATACATATGTATATATACAGAATGTTCTAGAACAGTAGTCAATAAGAATACTGGTGTTTTTGAAATAATATCGATTTGTTAAGTAAGATCAATGGAATTACAGTTCACGAAAGATGCATAGGATAGAATATCAAATAAAAATAAGAAAACTTCCACAACAAATTGTGGGTCATTAAATCCTTGATGTCCAAGGTAAGGACGGTGTCTTAACCAACCAACTTCTTTTGCATATATAAGTTAGGTTTCTTAATGTAGATTCTAACAGTCAGCCTCAGTGATATGTAGTTGACGGACTCTTAACATGAAATTAAGATTAATTGGTATGCAATAGATGACTTTGGAAGATTCGTTAACATCAATCTTGTTTTTTTTATCCACATGATGAGATAGAATGACACCACAAGAAGATTTTGTTTGTCCTTTACTTAACCAAGCAAAGTGATGTTCGGAAATCCGACGAGTAGCACTCCTAATTGTACAGCCTATGTAACTGGCTCCACAGGAGCAGTCAAAGTGGTAGAGACACATGGAAGAGGCGAAATTAGGCAGTTTATCTTTTACTCTCGAAAGCAAAATAACGGTGGCTTTGAAGTCACTACATAATTTAACAGCACTGAATGCTCTTTCTACGTCATTCCTTAGGCGTTGTGTTAAAAGCTTACTGATTTTATCCCCAAGGAAATGAGGTTGTAAGAATAATGCCTTTTTCTGAACTGTTAGTACTTTGGCCTGTCTTGATTTTTGATTTTATATTTTTATCCATAAATTTTTCTGGATAACCGTTCTCACTTAGCATCTGTTTAATAATATGGAGCTCTTCATTAGGACATTCCTCAGAGCAGATTGCTCTTGCTCTGTGAACCAAACACTTTAGCACATTGCGTTTGTATTTCAGAGGCACGAAGCTGAGAAAATGAGGCGCATTATCTAGTTTCGCAAGGAAAATGGGTATTAGTGGTGACCGCACTGCCACACTATCACCTTGTCTGTCCATAATTGCTACATTGGTGAATAAGGAAGATCAGTCAAATCATATCATGAATTTATTGTCAACATTTAAATCTTTTTTTTCTTTCTACAAATCCAAACGGTATCTTTCTGTTGTAATAATGCCCAATAAACACAACATGGAAAATTTTCTACACAATTTTCAGATAAAAGTAAGGAAACTGAATTAGTGTAACATGCAAAAATGGAAGTTTAGACTAAAACCCATTGTAGTATTCTGTCTCATAGATATGAGTTTGAAAGTCCAAGTGAATAGAAGTGGAAATATCGGTAAGCTTTAATAAAATAATGAAATTAATTTACGAAGAAAATAAATATTCACACTAATCTAATTTATTACGAAAGGTTTGATAAAGAGATAAGCATTTCAGTTTTTCTGGAAAATAGGAGGGAATGTTAAACACCTATTCAGTGCAAAAAGATATAAAATGAAAACTTAAGATGCTTAAATGTTGTTCTAGATTCCAAAAATGAATACACTTATGCAGTTTTAGTGAATAAGATTATCTTTTCAACTAATGAAGAATTTTAAATCTTTAAATATTTCCATTATTAATATTAGAGCAAGACATATAAGCGAACAATAGTACTGTTTTCAATTAGATCTTCTTCAGGCTTTACTCTAATTCACATAGATTTATATATAGAAATTTTAACCAATGATGGTGATTTTGTGCATCAAATAATAAGAATAATAATGTGGCAAATGTTTCGAATGTCAGTAATAACGATGATTATAATGATAATAAGGTTTACGCACGTGGTGATAAGAATAACGAAGGCAGTAATATGTGTATATGCAGACAGTTCAATAAATAAATTGGGTCAAATCTTAAAAGTCACGTAATACTAAACGTGAATTGGACAGATAATCAGAGTTTAAATAAATATCAATAATATATATGTGTAAAACTTGAGTTGTCAAGTTTAGAAGTCGTGTGATTATAATTGATATGATTATGAACAATAAATTTTATTCGAAACGTCATCCAGTAAATAATACTGTTTCACTGTGTGACACATCTAATAAACAAACTAATATGGAAGATGAATATCATTAAAACACGAAGGAAATGGAGAATAAAAAGAAGTGGGAGGGTTTGAATTAAAATTTACCTAGGCGAAGCAAGGGAAAGACAAATGCAGAACAAACTTCTTTTTTATACAGAGACTAGGATTGTTCTCTCGAATTCCCATAGTTTCGGCTATGTGTAAAAGGTGGGTTCAAATTGTGTTCGATAGGCTCGTTGGAATGCGATGGATAACTTTGAAGGCACTTCTTTTGTTCACTTGGTGACCTCTACCAATCACCATCATTGGTTAAAATTCTTAAATATAAATCTATATAAATTAGAGTAAAGCCTGAAGAAGATCTAACTGGAAACAGTATTGTTCGCTTTTATGTCTTGTTCAAATGAAGAAACTGTCAAACCACAACACTTCTTTGTTTTGTGCCTACTTAGATAACTTTCTCACTTCCTCGTAGACACGGCTGACATTAACATACGTCTACTTTTCGTATGAGAAAAGCAATTATTTACAAAAAAATACTACAAATTAAATGATTATCAATACTCTTCTGGGCTGATAATGGAAAGCTGTATGCTAAAAGTAGATTCCTTATAGAAATTTTCGAAATGTTTGCCACACAGTCAACTGACAATATTTTCATTTGTAACATAAACTAATTTCTGTTCCTGAGAATGAAATTGTCACTCCATGTTACAGACCCCTTGGATGGGAATAATAACTGTTTGACCTCCACCACCACAACTGTATTTCTGATGATGAAGTTTTCATCTCTAAACTAAATGAATTTGTCACCAAAAAGTCTACATTTAAACGAAATACAGGAATGACAACTATCCCATATTGAGTGCTGACTTGTTTGGTCACAGTGAGTCTAGGGGCTAGTATTTGTTTACATATACATATTTATACATGTTTCTATTGCTTTTTGTACTGAGAGCGACAAATTACAGAAACATGATTTTAAGTTTAGTCAGCTGTGGTGACATCAATTTAGGGAGTCTGAAAGTTACAACAATATTTCTATTTTTTGTTGACATTTTTAACTATGTGTTGTGCAGACTTCATCTGCATCTCTTGAAAGTCATTTACGTGTTATTGAATTTTAAAATTTACCACCACTGATATTCTCACTTCTAGTGGCTAATCTCCTTGTCTGTATTTAAACTTCATTTACAGGGTATGTGCTGTGACGTAATTAGTTTCTAACTATCAGTATTCATTTCTAAAGACCGCTGAAATAACATCTGAAGGCCTGATTCCAAGAGGATAACATATTTACTGTGCTGAGGGCTAGGATGGTGAAATTTCTGTAAAACGGAGTAACATTCACGGACGAAATAGTTGTAAATCTTTGGATGAAAAATTTCCAATCAAAAAATGTACACATCTTGAGAATTTAAATTACCACTAACCAGAATGTATCTAAGTCGTTATTGGATATTTAATGTTTAATTAATCTTAAGCAACAATAACTTTCTCTTTACGAGTTTGATCACGGATTGATATCAGTTAGAGAACCATTGATATCAATCCGTGGTCAAACTCATGAAAACAAATCTAATCCTTACAAACCAACTCTTGAAAATTTACTTTCTCGTTTAAGTAAAATAATTACGATGAAGGTATTACTTTATTACACCAAGTTTATATAATTAGTAGCAATATATATTTCAATACTATTTCATCCAATGTAACATGTTTCAGACAGTTGGCAGTTAGCTTATTGAATGTTTTTTATTTATTTATTCTGCGCCTGGCATTCCAATCGGAAATATTACTCGAAAGCTCACCGAAATGAATCTTTTTCCTAAATTAGAAGTTAAAAATCATTTCACCAAGCATGAGATAAGTGAGGAACATGTATACCTCGTATAATTTGTTAGAGGCTGTATTGTCTTTTGCACTGTAAATATTTACAGCCCCTTTGAACTCTTGCATAATCTTGTATCTATTTAACAATATGATAGTCTTTAAATGTTTACACAAGATTTAAAGGAATTTGTTTTCATATTTTTCTTGTCACTTATGTAGAAAACTAAGTTGTTAAGCTCCTTATAATAAATAAAATTTATGGGGCTGAATTCATTCACAAATGATGAATGTGTAGCGAATCCTCCAGGCACTAAAATACAGCTGGAACTAAAGGAAATGAAATATATTCAGCTGAATTAACTAAATATTAATTAACTTACATCTAGCTTTCAGATGATTAAGGCATTTTGAATTTTGTTTTAATGGGTACTCATCCAGCAAATCGTCAGTGGCACAGTGGTAGGATGCTCGCCAACCACGCGTGTGGCTCGGGGTTTGATCCCCGACCAACGCACGCCTTTACCTAGCTAAGACAGTAATAACACTAGTGAAGAGGGAAGGTTGGGTATGAGGCTAGCATCGCCATCCCATAAAAGTAAATACCATTACTAATTAGACTTCAAGTCTCCAGCGTGAAGCACTATGTTCTACTGGGAACGTCGAGGAATGAAAATAAAAAATCCGACAAATCTGTGATGCTATTTCACACTTTCCTTTGACACGCGCATTCTCAGATTTCCTAGTGAAGCCATATTATTTGGCTAATATCAGAAACATTTTACCTGAAATAACATAAATCTACTCAAATGATGAAGTCTTTTTGATTTGTTTTTCGTTGTTTGTACTAACAAGTTAAGTAAGCTACTGATTAAGTGACTACTAGAGAACATCCTGTCTAGTAAGGATGGGTGACTATTACGTAATAACAACACATAGTAAGAATACCATGAATAGCAGAAATTACAGGAAAGCTAGAAAATGCCAGAGTGAATCTTAACTAACTTTAAGGTAATAACAACCAAATCAATCTCCTATGTCAAATTATGAACTGGTATATTGGAAACGCAAAACTTGCTATGAATAAATTAAAAAAAATAAAATCACCCCAAACTTTGATATTTAGAATAAAAAACAAAAATTAACCTTTAATTTTACAGGTTACTTTGATAAAGTCATGCATTAGTCATGCGTATACTGACTCAATGATATTGGGATTTCACTATAATAATAATCAAGTTGAATGACAAAAGCAATACAAATTTCTCACAACATTTTCTGTTAAAAAAAAATGTTTCTAAAAATATAGTTTGGTATGAACACATGAAAAGAAAACAGTATCGATAAAAGCATATGATAATAAGAATTTTATTCACTTGTAACCCTGGTAGCATAGATGGAAAATCCTTACACAGAGTTATTTTTCGTTCATTCGTTGTTTATCACTCGCGTTATTCTCTCTCTCCTTCTATTACAGATACAACAATAAAATTGGCTCTGTTATATACTATAACTCTTTAAAACTTTCAAAATGGTGTGAGTTTTAAAGAAAGTAACCAGGGAGAAAGACAACAACAAGTGATTGTAGTATCTATGAGACTTAATTACATAATCATTCTTCATTTGAGATGGAAATATTGTTCAAAAAATAATAATAAATAAATAAATAAGTAAATACATCAGTCAAAAAAGGAGTACAATTAATTCACTATAATGACGACTTATCACAGTTATACAACTGAAAAGCTGAAATCTAACATAAGAGAAGTAAGGGATAAAATGAATAACATTCCAAAAGTAAACATGACAACCGCTCATAGAATAAATTTGCATCACTATTATATATAACAATAATTTTTCAGTACACTTGTGATTAGTTGTTAGAGTTTCAGATATATTCATCAGCAATACATAAATTTAGTGAAGAAAATAGTATAGAATAAGGCTAAGGAAAATTAAATAATATTTCATTTGAAATAAACTCCGATGGGATCCATTACGCCCACTGGAACAATGTGCTTCATCTGCATATGGTCCAACACAAAGTGAATACATAGTGGCATGTGCTATGAAGGTATTATCACACGGAGAATGAAACAGTTCACTATATGGACCCAAGGCATAAATTGGAACATCTTCAGCACTATGTGTACCAAACGACACATTGACAAGTGACTGAGCAATATAACTAGGTTCAAATCGTTCCTCTGTTGCAGGATCCGTCCGAGGTTTATCCAAGAGACCTCCTGGTCCATTGAAGTAGCTGGATATCAAGTAGGATTTATTGTCATTCCCCTAAAGTATAATAAACAAAAAGATATTGGATTTTTTTTATTTTCATAATATTGTATGCAAACTGAAATAATGTCTTAGTAGAAAATTATGAGAGTAATCGCCATGTAATAATAGCAAACACATTCAGCGGTAATTACTATTGTAGAATTAAAGTAACTGTAAAAAGCTAAAAACTAATAAGTAAAATAATGACTTAAATTCAATTGGCTTACGACCTGTAACAATTTGTGTAACAAAAAGAAATGTCAAGAAAATCTTCACTGTAAAAGAGTTTGGAATTAGTTGTAGAGCATCAAATTTTCCTAGCCAATGTATTTCCATAGTCATAGGATTACAAGAACTTTCGAAGCAAGTCATTACTGCCTTTTAAGTAGATATTGTTAGTCAATAATTTCAGTATTTTGTAAGCTGGCTCATTTATTCTACATCAGTTGATTTCAACACAGTTAGTGAATATTAGTTCTCTGCTTTCCATTGAATGAGAATAAAATAGCTGAGAAGTTATTTTGTACTCAGTCAATTAGTAGGTTAACACGTAGTAAGTCTTTTAGTTTATTTAATATGAATTGATTTACTAAAGGGAATTCTATAATAACAATAATTTTAATAATAATAATAATTTGCTTTATTCCAAAACAGTACTTGTGATACAGAATGGAATTCTCAGCATTTTTACTACAGTATTGCATCCAGTTAGTACATTATCAATAAATAGAATTCTACATAGATTAAGGAAATCTCAGTTCATTATGACAACAACATATTGGTAGCAAAGCCAAAGTTGAACAGTGTTTGAAGGTGTTAGAAAAGTAGGTGCTATCATATTTACTGGCGTAAGCGGAAGAAAGAAACAAAGCAGCACATAACGGAAAAAGGAGAGAGAGAAAAGGAAAAGAAAGAAAGAAAACGTTGTACCTATAAATAATATGAGTTGGAAAGACGAGGTCCAGTTGTTCTACTGACTATTTAATGAGTTATAGGTGTCATGCCTAATGCTTTCTTCATCGCACAGAACACGAGCTAAGTAGGGTATGGTTGAGTTTTTGTACTTGCTGGTGCGAGAATATAGTTTTCTATATAGGCTTCTGGTTTAACCTGATGAGATGCAAGGGGAGAGTTGTGAATGAAGAGGGTGGTATGAGTTAGATAAAATGGATTTGGCCCATTTTTCACATGAGTCCATGTGCCTGTCAACCAGAATATTAACAAGCTGGTTAAGTGGCACGTTGCTTACCCTGCTGACAACCTTTAACATCCTGCGTAATAAAGTATAGTCTTTCTTCAGTAGCCCGGGAAAAACTAAGGGGGTTGGGTTATACCAGAATGTCGTAACTTCTTGATGTAGAAGGTAAGACGGAATATTTTCTTAGAAATTGTCAAGATATGAGACGACCAGGAAAGATCAGCAAATAGAATGACGCCTAGGTATTTAATTTCCGACTTGGTTTCTATTTCAGTGCCATCTATGTTGCACACCTCGTGAGAGCTAACCAGTTTGTTTAGGTCGGATTTATGCCTAAAGGTGAAATTGACTGTTTGGCATTTGGAGGGGTTTAAGGTAAGACCGTTTTCCTTGGACCACTGGCTGATTTCTGATAGAAAGCCATTTAGTTTAGAGCAGTCACTCTGACATTTGACAGGGAAAGATACAGTCAGGTCGTCAGCATATTTGACAAAATTAATGTCATTTGAAGATGGTAAGTCATGTAGAAAGAAAGAAAAGAGAAGTGGGGAGAGTACAGCACCTTGGGGGACACCAGCTTCAGTGAGCGCAGGGGAGGAGGATTTACCTTTGTATAAGGTGTACTGCATTCCGTTAGAGAAGTAGGAATGCAACCAGTTAGTGACCTAGGATTCAGTTTGTGTCATAGAGAGCTTATTTAGCAAGAGACATCTAGATACGGAGTCGAAAGCAGAAGTGAAGTCAAGAAACGTGCAGCGGACGAATTTGGCACCTTTATCTAATGATGTAACGATACTGTTGTGTAAGACGGCTGCAGCGTTTAAAGTGCTCCTACCCTGTCTATAGGTAAATTGTTTGGGGTCTTCAAAGCTTTTAAGGGAGAGTTCAAGTTTAAGAAGTACTAGTTTTTCCATAAGCTTTAGAAACGGGGAAGTGATGGCAATGGGTCTGAACTTTACGCTCTTGCTATTTCCAGGTTTAGGGACAAGAATTGTTTTAATGTCTTTCCATGCAATCTTTCACAATGTGTTTTCTTCTTTTATAAATCTTGATATTGCCTTATTAAAAATACAATATTTATGAGTTGTTTTTTGTGTGTGACTTCAAGATACTGTCTTTGTATACTACCAACATTAAGTACAGTAGAAAAGCATCATTATTTCCATACACACACATATGGTGACTTTATAATAATAATAATAATTGTGAATTACTTTTTTAGTGCTATCCACATCAAATATACTTGTGCTTCTTGTAGGATAACCGACTACTCCATAAACATGTGCATGATCAGCCGTAACCATTAACAGTGTCTCAGATGGATTAACTAGACTGAGTGCTCTCTCAACAGCTTTCTCCATTTCCAAAGTTTCAGTTAATGCATATCTATATTTTTTAATGAAATAAATACACCAAAAACAAAGGTTATATTAGAATTTGAATAGAATAATGTCCTATGTCAAGAATAAATGAAAATAGTGATAGATAATAAACTAAAAATGTAAGTTTATAGCAAAGTTGAGTACAACTTTGAATGGAAGTCCAATTCATTCGATATGAAAAATATTAATATAAAATAACCAATAGAAGAAAAATTGGCTTTAAACCTTACATACCTATCCGCATAAAATAATAAAATTAAAGTGAGTAATAATAATAATAATGCTTGCTAGTGACTTGCTACGGTATAGAGTTTACTGGAATTCCAGTGAGAAGTCGTGACCAGTGGGGTCCATACAATCTGGAGTGAGGATGGTTGATGCCAGTCGCGCTAAATCACGAATTGGTAGGAGTTAGAATTCATGGGCTGGCCACTGAATCGGGTCCCAGTGGCTGAATGGTATACGAGCTTGCCTTGTAACCGGGTTTGAACACCAGTGGTGAGTGCGTACTACCAATGATTCTCAAACTAGGATGAGACAGCTGTCCAGTACTCTGTGGTGGTTTTCAATGGTTCTCTAACTGATAACAATCCCTGAACAACTCGCAAAAGCAAATCTAATCCTTACAAACCAACTATCGACAATTAATAATAATAATAATAGTGATAAAAATCACTTGCTATCCTCCAAGCTTTGAAATTTATTGATAGACTTTGTATCGTCAGAGTGATGATAATTTGAGCGATAACTAAATTAAGAAGTGACACACAATAGGTCGTCTGCACCCATACAGCTTATTTCTATTATTACCGGTCTATCCTCAGATATTACTGTCATGCAAACAGTCATGAGAACTTTCATCAGTGTTTTCATTAGTGTTCCCTACTAATTTTTATTTTCACTATTCTTTAATCCTATTTCGTCCCATTTTCTTTCGACTATCAATTCCACTGAGTTATAGTTCTAATTTGTAATCGCTGACAATAAAGAGACATTGAGTAACATTGCTTCGTGTATAACTGGATATATATATATATATATCACATCTGATTTGAATAGTTGACAACAGATGAGAGAATATGATTAGATGATATCATAGAAAAAATATATATACATATCCATCCAAAATTTTTAAAAATACATAAATTTTTATACCTGCATTCATAAACATGCAAGATAAGATTGTTTTTTACTAGGCATTAGTCTCAGTGTTTCCAGTGGTTATGATGAGATGCGTAACTGTGAATACGCCTTTTGGCTTTATAGGCATACACATTTTCATAATCGTTTGACTTCGTTCAAAGAAAATGAACATGTCTACTAAAAGTAGAATCTCATAGCTCCAACCAACTTCACAGTACATCTGAACTATTTACTAATGCAGAAGTTAAGCGGACAAAAAACTCATATCCATTATAAGGGTATGTTTTATCAGTTAGGAGTATCATTGAAATTCTCCCATAAGTAGTAAGTCTACCTTTACAGTAATTCTCACATAGTCATTAGTCCTAAATCAATATAAATTATCATAAAAGACACATAGAACTTTACACCTATTCTTCACTTGTTGATAAAATTTAAAAATTGTTTTACTCCTCATGAAATAAGCGCCAAGATTTAAAAAAAAGTAGTGATGATGATAAAAACTGATAAAAATAAAATATTTCTCACTGTGCTTGACTGGTGTGATGACCATGATCAATTCGACCGCCTTCCACTAAGAGAAGAAATCCTTTTGGATTACGAGATAATACTTTGATTGCAGCTTCTGTCATGTCAGCTAAAGTTGGTTGGTCTGCATTATTAATGTAGTAGTCCAGATGATTTGGAGCAAACAAACCTGAAATATAATCGGTGTAGATATATAACGGTTAGATATTTCAAATGTTTGTATGAAATATACATTGAATCAGTAATGAATCTAAGCATTGTAAATATGACTTAAATATTCATTTTTCAAGTTAGCATTGTCAAACACGAAACGTGCATGTATTTGTCCTATTTTCCAGATTGTATTAGGAAATTCAACAAATGTCAATGAGCAAAAGGCTTTTTTTATTTCACTAAGTTTCAGTAGTTTCCTGAAAAGCTGCAAATTTGTTTGGTTAACAATGACCATTTTATCATCAGCAGGAAAGCGGATACACATCGACGACACTTCTTACAGCTAAGTTGTTAAGAATCCTACGTTTCCAAATAAATTTTGTTAAATTTCATTTTCTAACCCTCTAGACTAACAGTGTTAAACACTGAAAGGTATTATTAATAGTTTAGTTTAATATGGCCATTAGGCTGTAGATAGCAAAGGAATATACTTGCATATAACTTGATTTCACGTGAAATGCAAAGTTAACTGGAAGAGTCTGTCAGCTTATGGATAGATAAATGAGTGAAATAATCCTCTGAAGTTTGAATTATTAATTTGAATGATTATGGGTTAATCATGTGCTGTACTGTTATGCAGCTAATAAATCTAAATTTCATATATTCTGTCACACCGACCCCATTTTAAACTGAATGATCTTGTCAATTTGATCGAATCAGTAAATAATTCCGCACATAGTTTATAATTATTTAGTCATGTCAGAATATTTGCAGTGAATAATAATAATCCACAGAATATTATTCAAAACTAATTGGATTTACCCAGAACGAAATCAACAGACGACCAGTCTGTGTCTTTAAACTCTTTAGTTGTATGTAACACAGCATGCTTGCGTTGCTTTTGAGTCTGGATCTGCCGCCATTCTTGTAAGAGATTGCGGAAATCCGACCGTCTTCCTTTGGCTTGAAAAGCGAGGCTTTCATTTGATCCATAGAATACTGACGCTCCACCTCCCATTACAACGTTAATATCAGAACCATTCGTTAGTAGTTGTGCAGCAGCATCCACACATTTATATCCTTTGTCATTTGTTGCTCTGAGGGAGATTAGGTTAAGAATAGTGAAAAAAATTATATTTTTTTTCATTTCACCAATTATTCTGGTAGTTCAGAAGAAAAGAAGGCAAAACAAATGCAAACAAAAAATACCCATAATCTGAATATCGATTTCCAGCTCACTGATGGATACAGGATGAATATCCTGTTATATCATGAAGTGACATAGTTAGAATTCACGGGTCACTGAATTACTGACCAAGTGGTTGGATGGTTGGGTCATGGATGTGCACTGCTGGACAGTCTCCAAACAGGACGAAACAGTCCACCAGTGCTCCCTGGTTTACAATCAATGATATCGGTTCGTGACGAGATCTGCATGGAAATTACTCCAGGTCCTCACAAAAACCATTAATCTAAATCTAGATTCTAAAAAACTACTCACAGATGATGAAAAGTTAAGTGCTTAACAATGAGAGATTGTAACTATTGGGTAGCCGACATACACAACGAAAAACTAAAAGGGAAATATGAAATCACCAGCAAATAATACAAATCAGTGAATGAATGTTAACCAGAGTAATTGTAGACTTTGTGAGTTGGTTTGTGTTTGCAAGTAGCCATTAGTGTAAGTGATGTGGATTTTCAGTGCACTATTTTAGATAGCAGACATTAATAGTCAGTCAACAAGAAGTCACTAAAGTGGGATAATCATTCTTCTCCACTTATCGTTAAGTTTCACAGAACTTTCAGAAACCTTCGTTTTATCTTATTCACGGCACTGTGTTACTCAGTTGAGTAGTCATATTGAACTACGAAACTATGGGGTTTGGACACTTAAAATTTAACAGTTATTATGATTCCCATATGGCATAATCCAATTTTATAGGCAATTTGTCCTCCGTATTAAGATTCGGAGTGTTTGAATGTCTCACAAGCGATTATAATAAGTACTAAACTAGAAATGAAAATGCCGTTTGTCATGTGTATCCTATTTACGTTAACAGGATTATTTCGCCGTTTTTAATGTAAGAAGCGTATTACTGTCTCCGTTTAAATATGGCTCACTAAAAAAGGATATGTGTGAGTCATCAAAAGACATCAGTTTTCCCTTAAACAATACAGAAATGATTAGTAGGCAATAAGAACTTATGAGAGGACTTCCGAGAGAAAAATATCTTCCAAACTACCCATAAGGTTACCCTTCTCTTATATCCGTAAGAATTAAAATCTTTCCTAAAGTTTTCCAAAAATACTATGCTAAGCTTGTTAAACCAAGTGACTAAGAAGGTGATTTGCATGACCTCTGGTAGGACTTAAAGCAGCTTCAATGGTCATCTGAATTTGGTGAGAATCTAATAATTCTTCAGAATTAAACACATTGGCATGAGCAGTCCTCTAAAAAGTTACTGGCTAGGGTTAAGACATTTTGACAACAAACTGTTTCAGTATCCCACTTGTTTAAATTGTGCAAAATTATCGAAAGTAAACTTATAGCACTTTCATCTGACTTTCTAAATTACCTAGAATTTTTTTCTAAATGTATTGATAAATACTCAGATCACGAAGAACCTATGAGTATGGATTCGAAATACACAATAATATTTGGAAAGTTTATTCAAGGTAGGGTGACCACTAAGAACACGATTTTACATTCATTAAAAATAACAGCTTTTAAAGTAGCCATAGTGTCGTAATTTGGTCATTAATCTACCACAGTTACATGTCCCTAGTTCATATGGAAGACATCTTTTATCTGTAGTCGATTGAAAACACTTCTAAATTCATAAGGATCAGCAAGTTGAAAAGTCCACTTAAAACTCAGTAGAAATAATTCACTCTGTAAACGTCAATCAGTACGCATGTGTATTAAAAGAGAATAAATATAAACGTAAATAGTGCTTACCCATTTCCCTCCCAATCTCGAAACAATATGTTAGCGTATGATGCTGCAGGAGTTGCATGAGTAACTCTAGTAGTGGTCACTATTCCAGTAGACAGTCCTGCTTTAGTTGCATAATGAAGTGAAGATTTTGCTCTTTCCACTTCTTTCAGTTCAGTGCATTGGCAACAACTCACATTACCGGTAACACCGACAGTCTCAAAACTCCCTTTTGCACCTGAATAATAACAATACCATAAAATACTTAGTTAACAGATCAAAACATTTAGCACAATGCAATGATGTAATGTAATAATGATTCCTTTTTACCCAAGTGATATCATTTGTCTTTTAGCTGTTTTAGAGTGCGTACTATTATGAAGGATATAAAATATCTTTTTCTTCTGTACTTACAAAAGTATCTGCTACGTATGAGGTATGAAACAGATATGGAAATCTGTTGTCAGTTAGCTAGACTTAAAATTTAAAATGATTGCATATTCTGCTATATAACTGAAGTGAATTACCTCTATGATAACTATAACATTATTTAAATGCTACAGTGCAAATTCGGTGCTAAAATCTCTAGAAAAACACCTATAGAAACGAATTTATGAATTAATTCCTGGACTGACTCAATCCTTCACTGAAACTGATGAATTTGTTTTGGTAACTTTGAAATAAACAATCAGTTTGAATAGCAGATCGCCAAAATAACGATTTTTATATCTATGCTGGAAATGTGATAATTTCATGAACATATGCATAACTACTTAGAAGCTTAAAACAATTAGTACAGTAATTTAAAAATATATTAAAAAGCATGAAATAAACACAGTGTATGCACTAACCTGACAAAAACGCTGTGGCAGCAGACCCAGAATCTGTTGTCAATCTGTCTGAATTAAATGTACGAACAAGTGATGCTACAGGCCATTCTTCCCATGCTAACTCTACATCACCACCTAGAAGATTCATTTTCTCTGCCTTCAGATATCTTGCACCCGTCACTGTGCTCATACTCATTCCATCTCCAAGGAATAAGATAACATTCTTTGGACGTTTAACTGTTGAATATGCATAGGTCTTTTTGAATTTTTCAAATTTTTGATCAGCTAGCTTCTTCCATGTCTCAGGGTTAGTAACATCCAGTGAAGACTTTCTACATTTCGCTTTATTTTGGAATAGTATTACTAGGATAGTAAACACGAAAGCTATCTTGGGAGGTAAAGCGATACTCCAAAGCATGCCTAATTATGAAATAAATTTTCAACTTCGTTTCTGTATTATGGCTTCCTTTATATACTCAAATGTAAATAGAGATTTATAGTAATGTATCATTTTACTCATTTTTGATTGGTTGATTTTTTTGGTTTTAGTTATATACCACAAAACAAATCACAGCTTGAACAAACACGATTTATATTTTAAATATTAATTCCTGAAAAAAAGATGTTTTGTTTTTATTACTTCATTTCCTATTAGACAGAATAATAATTACTACAGAAGTCAATGTTAATTTAATATTGCATCTACAGTTCAACTTACCGCAAAGACAAAGAATGTGACATATTTATAATTATAAAACGTTAAAAAGAAACAAAATTTCAGCTAGATATATTTTAACATTAGTATTAAATCTTTCTTCTTTATTTTGCCGAAAGTTATACAGTGAATATGATAGAAAAAATGAAACATAAAGTTGGCAGACAACTTCAGATACTACAAAGTCAATAAGGTGATATGGAACCACTTAAGAAAGATTTAATGGTTTCGTTCATTTGCTCACTATGTGATAACGGTCCATTCACATTGTACTAATTACGCTGAAATCAAGTCGCAAATAACTAAGACATTTTAGAAACATAGTTATATACAGCAACAAGTGCTCTTATTTAAACTCAGGAGAAGAGGTTTTCTTAAGTGTCAAGCCAGGAATTCATGGTTAAAAGGTATCGGATCGACCATAGAAGACAAAATCATTTATGTTGGTTGGTAGATGAATAAAAATGTGGTAGTGTGGTAATCTGTAATCCCGTATTAGTTTACTTACTAAATATATGATAGTTAAGTAGAAATGCTTCACTAGGTAATATATATCTAAAAAGTGAGATAATATTAGTTCTCTGTATTAGGTATAAATTTTGCACGCAGAGCTACTGTTGTTTTAGACGAATTGCAATAGCCCCTGATGTTTGAAGTACGCGGTATATAGAGTCCTTTGATAATTTATGCAGTATCTGACAGAGGACAGAAAAATACTCTTCAGTGCCAGCTTTGTCGCCTGTTCGAACAAAGTGCTCTAATATAGAACTGTGGATGGTTTTAACTAATGTCAGCTCATGATGAAAATCCTGTAACCAATCAAATCCCTACAAACCAACACTTGAATAACTATACCTTTATTCAGCCACACTGGTAGGTGTTCCCAAGGATGAAAAATAAATTCTTACAACAATGGCCAATATTACTGGCCCAACAGGGATAGTTGTATTTGAACAAAGCAACAACTACAGTTTTAGCAGAATAAAATGGTACCATCTTTTATTTCGTCGCCTTCTCGTCAGCTGCTTACAGGGCAAAGATATTATTAAATGTATCTACTAAAACAATTTAACATACTTGCACAGAGTTCATTTTAAACAAAAGTCGATCGATGAATATACGCATACACTAATAATATATACATATATATATATGCAATATTAAACACAATTCCGAACAATAATAATCATACACAATGAAAACTTTTCAGTATCTCACATTCGGATGAAAAATATCCAGTTACCACGGCAAAGAAAGACTGATAACCGCTTCTTTCTGAACGCACAAATCAGGCTTTAGGCGCTTGATGGAAATGGCCTCAGCAAACTCAAGGAGAATTGAGCTTTTTCGCTAATTGATAATTTTGAACTACTTTTCGACGTCCACCTCATGACCCGTGTCAAGAAGATGCCTGGCGATGGCACTGTTTAAAGCATTTGTTCCCTTTAGACGTAAGCTTTTTGGTACATGTTCAGAAAATCGAAGATATGCCCTTCTTTCTGTTCTTCAAATGTAACTGCTCCCGCAGATACATGTAAATTTGCATATACAGTTGGAGTTAACATGAGAAGGATATCTATCGATTTTTGATTGCACCAGAGAGCAAGTTGTTCGAAAGACGAGAACGAGCAGGTGATTAGCCTGGGTAATTAGTCTCTCAGTTGAGGAATAACAACCGGTTGTAGGGAAAATACAGGCTGCAGCTTACCAGCATTAAACATTCTTTGAATCAACCTTTTCAATTTGTTGGTTATTGGATTGCTTGGTACATCACCTTTCAACTGTATTCTCATTTACAGAGGCTTCTTGTTAGCAGATATATGAGAATACTTTTCTACTCTCTTGGTCCTATGTTTTTAATGATGAAGTCTTCAGGGTAACTGCTTCCAATCGTATACAACATTAAGTTAGTCTACAATCAAATCTGAAAAATTAACGCCGACTATATAGCTGAAGGTCTCTACCAAATTTCTTTTATACCTGAAAGGAATAAAGCTATGAAGATGTGCACTTTTTCAATGCGAATTCACTTTTATACTACTATCAGGTCTTCTAATATACAGCTAAATCAAGTGCATTTTAGCTTTTAAGCTAAGAACATTTATTAAGAAATGCAGACATCTAAGGCTAAGTAAACAACCAAATATTCATAAATGTGATTACCGTTCATTTGGTATGTTTTAGAGAATATTCCATCTAATTAACATTTTTGCACAGTAAATTTATAATTCACTATGAAATTCTTCACAAGCGGTATATTAGGTTATTATGCAAAATAAACTATAAGCGTCATTTAAAACTTCAATAAAACGCCTGTGTTTGAAAAATGGAGAATTGGTTAATATTGTTAGTTCTCACCACCTAGAGCTGATTATGTTTAAGAAATCAGCACTAGGCTTCGTTGATAGAACATACATACATCATGATATCGTAGATATCACAGTGGACTTAAATTTCTAGTAGTCCATAATCCTGCTATGTTTAATCCTCAGCAAAGTTAGAAAATAATACCTTCTAGCTTCTTCAGTTATTGCAGGGATTTCTTTCACAATTAAACCATTTGTCTTAGAGAAAGAAAGCAACGTCATTTACACTTACGATTCATTTCATAGTTCAACTGTACACTTATTCGCATCTCATAGTATCATCACTGATTAACTTATTCATAATTATTCGTCAACAAGAAGCCCTGCTCTGCAGTATTCTAACAGAAATGTTTACGCTGTTCAGTTGTTAACTGAGCAATCTATAATAACTACCTCATTGTGTGTATCTCTTCTAAGTAGGTATGTAGCGTATTTTTCAATCTTATTTCCGTTTTAGTTTGGATTGAAACTTTCGCATCATCGATTTCCAAGTCCATTTTGATCTCTCATAAAAATTTCAATTTCATTCTCAATGTAAACAGAGATATTTAACACTTCCAATTATCAACATTGTAAAACTGGCGTAAATCTAAAGAGTTATTTAAATAAACGGATAATTTAAGACGTATAATTCAATCTCTTAAAACTAAATATTTTAGAAGAATGAACTGTAAATAAAATAAAGAAAAAGAACATGTGTGTGCGCGTAGCGCATTAGTGGACAACACACTGATGCACAGTTTAGGTTAATTTACAAAAGAAGTAAAAAGTTGGATATTGACATTTTGAATAGTTTGCCTCAGAAAATTTGATGAAGTTACAATCATCATTTCATTCAGTCGATTCAAATGTGAATAAGATGCCAGAAATTATAAGTTTCCAGAGTAAAACTTTGCATAAACCTGCAGCATTACAATTCGCCACACTTTGTAAAAAGTGAATAGATGCGGAGAAAAAAACAGGGGGTTGCAAATGAACTATGATCAATAAGGATGTAAAGGACTTGGTAGTTCATAAAAAAGGAATACATTTGCCCCATTAAGCCATTTCATCAGCAATTGGTTCTTAGCGTTTCGGAAAGCTCAGCCAGACAGCCTACACCTCCATACTTGGCTCAAACCAACAATCAAAGGCTTTACGTATTGATGCAAGTTTTTGATCGGACCATCTGTGACTCTTTTCCAACCTGATTGCTTTGTCAGCTAACACTGTTCGATGAAAACGACGGTCGCTTGGCATGAATAACATGTATCCCAGTCATCTCAATGGATGTAGTTCTACAGCCACATAAACCTACTTCCCCTCCTAACCTAACAGTCTACCTAAACATTACTCTGCACCCTCGTATTCCATTAGATATATACTAGGAACCAGGAAAGGGAAGAGATGCATCTAGCCAACCTCGTGGGGAGAATTCAGTCGATTAAACTCGCCTGTTTTTGTCAGTGTAAAAGAAAAGAACACTCTCAAAGTAATGATAATATGTACCAGTAATTCATTTCTGAAAGCGATCACTTATCACAGTGGTTTCCAGATAGATTAGCGCATAAAAAACAACTTGATTTTTAAAAATGCCTCCTACGCAGAGTAATCGTTAGTTATTCAAATTTATAAGATATTTCAGAATTTATTCCTTTTAAGTTTTCAGGCAGAGTAAATTATAACTTAAAGTATGTAAAACATAATGAAACTACTTAGCTAATTGACCTCATTTCACTAATACAAAGTAATTACCTGTTTGTTAATGAGTGCACATACTTTCAGATTGAAAAATAAAAAAGATATATTCATATGTGAAGTCTGAGAAATAATTTGTATCATAAAGTTAACTATAAATTATTTCAGCTTTAAAATTAATCATAATTTAGTTTAACGCGTTATCTATTCAACTATAAGAGTTCACATAACACTAGAAAAGAAACTGAAATTTTCTCTTTTTTCTAAATATTTCCTCTCATCAATAAAATAAACATTAAGCTAATAACTCCTTTCTGATTCAAAAAATTCATATTAATTTGGTGTTAACATAAAAAGCGGTTAACTTAATAGAAAAAAAAAGGATAACGGTGACTGATTATTATTGGTTCATCCTGGAATAGTCATTTGCACTTATCACTTAAGATGGATAGAAATACTTCACACACTTTCCAAAATATTTTAAAAAAAACCGCATACAAAGTGTGGACACATAGCAGAAAAATATTTTGACGTTGTGCATACCAATTTTTCTTCCATTTCATAGAGTACCTTCAAAAAATGTAAAATATCTTGAAAGCATGAAGAACTGCTTTAACTGACGGTAAACGATAAATATTGCGGTAGACAGGGTTATTAAAGCTGCGGTAACATCGAATAAAACCATGGTAATATATATATACAAGTTTTTAGCAGCATCAATAGCTTTTATAGATGATCTGGTCACTCTCGTAAAGTGTAATAAAAATGTAGTC